ATCTGAAAGTCTTCGATTCGCAAGGCAATTTATATCGCAAACCACAACAATATTGGCAATATTGTCTAGCTACCACGCTTGAATTAGACAAAAGCGCATATAAAATATATTTAACTAGATAGCTTTACCCAACACTATTACGTCTATTACACAGTTTAATGTTTTATTTATAGAGTATTAAAAATCGGTCTCGACGGCTGCAATGTCTTGGTCTTAAAGTAAAATCATTACTAAGATGCTTAAAACAATCTAAACGTTTGATAATAACAAACTTACAGCGAAGCCTTACAAATTAAAACAATCAATCTGTATAAACAAAATATCAACATAACACCAGTTAATTATAAGTTATGGTGCCAGTTATGAACTTACTACCATGCATTGAAAAAGTGTTGACAATTAACTATATGACACGACTAACAATATATTACTTTTTAAATAATTTTCTTTGCGTGTTTGATAAATGTGGTTTGTTTACGTAATTCAGTTTCAGGAGTTTTTCTCGAGGGTCGAGGGCGGGAAGCGAGGGTCGAAAAATCATATATAAAACGTCGAGGGTCATATAAAAAAGTCGAGGGTCTTCAGTAAAAAGTCCGGGGTCGTATTTCTAAAATATTTTATGGTTTTTATTGTCGAGGGTAGAAATTTGCGGGCATTCCCTATAGATAAATTTGCAAGTGGAGCAAGCACGATAGCGAAAACAATACTTTCAAGATGGCGACGCGAACCCGGAAAAGGCGTATGGCAATGGCAAGGGGTAAACAAGTCCTGATTACTCTGATTCAATAGACCATATAGTGAATAGACAATACAATAATTTGCAACATGCAATCCGAGATAACGCAGATAATGTACCACGCCGTTTGAAACTATCTCGACTGTAGGTTTTGATCGGCGTGTCTGTTTTCATGTAGTAATATTTTATCATATAAAAAGTAATCGCATATAAAAAATTAATAATTGCATATAAAAATAAGAGCTAAAAATGTATACCCTCAAGCTTTTCACCCTCGAATTTCTACCCTCGACAATAAAAAAAAACATATTTGTAAAATACGGCCTCCGACTTATTATATACGACTCGATAAAACACTCCTACGCATGTTTTAAATAGAACTTTTAAAATAAAGAACTAGATAACTTTTATTAGAGATAAATGAGATATTTTTATGTTGTAAAATATTATGATCATTGCATATGTTTTTAGTCACCTGGTGAAGTGGTTACACTGTAGTTCTCCCACTTTTCCAACTTTAATATGCTAAATATCATGCATTAAAGATACCTTCATTGCCGTATATAAGCATACGTTAAAGTAGCTTTGCGCTTAGTTAAGGCCCTGTACCCGGAGTGAACGCCTGAGTAGGCGTCTTGTTTGTCTTATTTACGCAAATTTGCCAAATTCATGCACATTTGTTGCCCTACATGTTGGATCCTTGTCACATTGTTAATTGCATTCATTGTAGCTTCCAAAGGTTTTTGTTTGTTTTAAATTATCTGTTTGACATTAGTAAAACACATATGGGATTCATCTGTGCCCACTATTAGAGAGGTTCAGATTTTGACCACCGTTACCATTGACCAATCAGATGCATTTAATCCACGAAACTAACCAATCAAATGAGTATTAATCCTGTGAGAATTAAGTAGCGGTAGTGGAAGTCAAATCTGGACTCTTCATTAGATCTCGACCTCGATGAAAAATGTTGCAATACTGAACTCAGAGGAAAACAGAATAGTAATAAATATACAACACTTAAACCCAGAATTAAATATACTAACTTGACATATCGTGTGGGCTTCAGTCTTCATCAACCGACAGTACGCGACGGTTTATCACGGGGAAAAACTCCTTCAAGGAATGGCGTGTTTTCCAGTCAGGATGGCTTCTGATGATTTGATGCACAACAAGCGGGAGTGTTGGAAATAAATACAGGAAATACTCGTCAGGAGAAGTAGCTGTTCCCATAGCTTTCAATGGTGGACGTGGTTTATCACCCCAATGCTGACGAGCATTTCTTATGAATCGAAGACAATGCGTGTAACGAATACCATCAAAACTGGACGGGCGAGTATGACCTCCTGCACAAAATGTGTTGAGGTCATCTGGATCGATGACTGCTTTCCAGTCAAATGGTAACAATGAGCTTCGAGGTTTTGACAGATCACGGTTGTCTAGCTCTCTGGAAACTGCACAGTTGGGATCGCTCCAAAAACTCTTTATTTCAGGCTCGTTGCCCAAAGCTTCTAAGAACGTCATCTGCTCTTCGGATGAGAGAAAGTAAGGGTGCTTCAAGGCTTGCTCTACATATGGTCGTTCATCTAACTTCTGAGCCAACATCTGAGAAAGCAGGTCTTTCACCACAGGATCACTGAGTTTGCTTAAACCCACTGGTTTGCCATTATGCAAATTTATCATTTGATGTATTGGAGGACCAAATGGATGCTTTCCTTTGGTCAAGATGTAAAATGCTATCATACCTGCCACTTGGATATCTGATTTCTCTTTCCACTTGAATTGCACTGGTCCATCTGAAGGGTCCCGCACCTCATCAGAATACAAACCATCCCAGTCAATGCATTCATATGCGATCCAGCCTTTTGATCCACGTTCGTTACCAGTACAGTATGCAGTTGCACCTGTAAAGTAGTAAGAATTTTATTAATTCGCGTGCGTTAAAGGGTATGGGCAATGAAAATTGCTTCATCTATCTTATTGCTTCGTCTGAAAGAGCATGAAAAAATAAGCCGATTGGCCGTTTAATGCTCTATTCTATCTCATCTAGTTCCGAAGTTATACGCAAAAATGTGCAAAATATAAATTGCTGATTCAGCACAACGTGTGACGTCATTAGCTGGGTAAGTATGTTTATTGAATACTACACTGAAGCATAGCTCGGTTATTAAGGGCCCAAATCAAATGAAATTTTGGATACTGATTGTACATGATGAGACGCATGGAAAAACACTTCTAATTTTGTTGCCAAGGTAACAATGTCGCTCCCAGGCCCCTTGCACCAATTTTATAAAACAGCTTTATTCAAGGTACTGATAAAAATAAAATAATATCAGAAGTATGTGTACGATACCTATGCATGCCGAAAGTTTACTTGCATGATAATAATTCGAAAATGACATACACATAGAGAAATGCAACTAGTTATTCAAAATCAGTGTAAGGGGCCTGGGAACGACTGTGTTACCTTGACAACGAAATTAGAAGTATTTTCCCATGCGTCTCATCATGTACTATCTGTATGCAAAATTTCATTTGATTTGAGCGAATAATAACTCAGCTATGCTTTAGTTTACTATTCAATAAACATACTTACCCAGCTTATGACGTCACAGAATGTGCTGAATCAGCAATTTATATTTTGCACATTTTTGCGTATAACTTCGGAACCAGATGAGATAGAATAGAGCAGTAAACGGCCAATCGGCTTATTTTTTCATGCTCTTTCAGATGAAGCAATAAGATAGATGAAGCAATTTTCATTGCCCATACCCTTTAAAAATGTTTTTCGGAAAAGTTATGAAAAATGTCACAGACACAGTGATTCGTATTGGACAGTAATGTCTATAAAAGATCATCGAGCGAATTATTTTGTTGTCAAGGCCTTGTCTTTGTCTTATATTTGTTTCACTTACAAAATTGTGCAGATTTCTAATTCTTTAAACTTACATCAAAATAGAGTACGATCTGTTTTAAATAATATAGAAACTATCCGTGAGATGGCCAAAGTTTAGTTTAATCGCGCTACACAGTCTATACAGGCTTATATTGAGTTTTAAATCTTTGCATATATCTTATATTTAATGTTGAACGAGGATGCGACACATTATTATAAACTTCTTATATTATATAATTTGTTTCGACCGGCCGTCTCAGTGGTCATGTTTCCCGCCTACACCTGCGAAATATAAACGACCCGCTACTCGCCAGAACCCGTCAAGCTTGGGGGCGTTATGAAAACCCGGAATGCCGGAATATATGCAGAGTCAACTCGCTTAGCCGGGACAGAAATTGCCCACACATCTCATGTCATCGCTTTTTGCTGAGTTGGTTCGGCAAAGCGGGCTGAAAACCACACGTATGCATGTTTTAACAATAAAGTCATGCAAATTATAAACGTATGAATTCGGGCAAAAATTGGGGGAAATAAATTTAAAGAGAAGACATTACATGTAATATGGTATTTGAAAATACCAGAAATATGTAAACGGTAACGAGGAATTGACAAATAGGAAAATATTTTTGTCTACTTCCCAACGACAATTTTGGAAATTTAGTTACACGGAAAATTTTATTCAGTGGGTAAAAATTAATTACTAATTTCATTTCCTGTGTATCGGAACATAAAGCAAACAATATATATTGCGAAACACAATTAGTATGCTCAAATTCTCGAAATTAAAGTAAACAATTCAAGAGGCATATACAATCAAAGGAATAATCCAGTATAATATAAAACAAAAACTTTCGCAAAAATTTAGCCACAACATGCAATAGTAATAATTATTATCTAATAACTAGTTTTATGATCGCTTCCTTATATATTACTGTCCATCCTTCCCGCTTTTACATGCACCTATTTCCGCAAAAAATACTCATATGTGAAGCTACATATAAATACTAGGACTTTACAATCACGTACAAGACATATTACCACCCGATAGAGTCACACATACGACAAAAGAATCCTATTTTTACTGGCCCGTATTTATGAATTCACAATTGTATGTATCAATATTTAACAATTATTCGCCGAAAACGTACCCTGCTGGCAGTGGTTTCTGAGAAACCACTGCCAGCAGGGTACCGAAGGCGAGGTGATTATCGGTGAATAAAAACCGAGACGAAGTCGAGATTTTTATTCACGATAATCACCGAGCCTGAGGTGAATAATTGTTTTAGTATAATTTCATAGGTGACTATTTGGAAAAAAATAAGAAAATACACATTTCTTCGTCATTTAATTGACAAAAAGGCTTCGGCCGCCATTTTGAAAATCGCTTAAGCTCCGTTTACACGAGCAAAATTTTATATTTGACAAATTTCATTTAATCAAAAGCATTTGATCAAAAGCTAGCATGCTAGCTTTTGTTCAAATGATTTGTCACAATAAATTTGTCACAACTGAATTTATCATCTACACGAGCAAAATATTTTGACATATGAAATTTGTCAAATAAAATTTGCTCGTGTAAACGGAGCTTTAGGTGATTATCGCATAATAATCACCTCAACGGCAACCAATCAGCATGGAGAATTTTCAATAATCACCTATGTAATTATACTAAAAAGGCATTATTGACAAATAGATCAGTGTATCACCAGACATACAGGCAGACACGAAGTCACCCGACTACACGAGAAAGAAATAAAGCCATCCTTACCTGAATTATTCAAAATATTGTCGGTCATTCTTGCCAGTAATATAAAATAACACCGTGCTTTATTTACCCATTCACCTTCACAGATATTACTCGGAATTTTATGGCAATTCGCAGTATTTTATGACTATATTTCTGTCCGTTTATAGTAGTCGCCATGTTGTGAACAACTCCCCCACCCCCCGGGAACACTCCTTCAAAACTTCTTCTTTTTGTGAATTTTAGGGGGTCCAATTCCGCGGAAGGGGGTACATATCAGCTAGCGGATATGTACCGGAGGGGTCCGAATCCGCTAGCTAATATGGACTGGGGGATCCATATCCGCGGGGAGTCCAAATCCGCTGTGACACCGGAACAACTCGGCAAAGCGGGACAACACGGCCCATGTAATCAGCCCCTAACGACGGATTCCCTATCTGTAATTTTGTTAAATATATACATATCTTGTAAAAATACCTTGTTCCGGGAAAAACCGTCCAATACCAAAATCAGACAGCACTAAATCACCACTCGCATCAACAAGTATATTGGTCGGCTTCAAGTCTCTGTGTAAAATTCTAGGCTCTCTAGCATGTAATGCTTTCAGTCCTTCCAACACTTGACGTATCATCTTTCTAGCACGAGATTCTGTTATAGTTTCGCCTTTCTCCTTGATGAATTCTTCAAGATTTTGTTCATACAAATTCAAAATCAAATAACCAAAGTCAGGACTGGAGGTATCATCGTAGAACCAATAATTCACAACACGTGGCGAAACGACTGCATTCCTAGACATCAAGATATCTCGTTCATTCTTCAATAAAGTACACAAGACTTTTGGCAAACGTTTTATCGCTCGTTCTATCCCGTCAGACCCCAAGCAAACATACACTTCTGTGCCATAACTGCCGTTGCCAATTGAGAACTCTTCTTTAAAACAAACGCCATTAGCGTTAATTATTTTTATCAATTCAGGATCACTCTTAGCATTTTTCCAGACTTCTGAAAGCCGTTCAAACTTCACTCTATGCTTCACTGAAACTCTTTTCCAATCTTTGGGTTTTAAGGCTGCGATTTCCACACTGGATTTGTCATGGGCATGGGTTTTAAGTGGCTGTGACGGCAATCGTGTCGAGTCTGTCAACGACGATTGCGCCAACTTCGCTTGCCTAGGAGTCCATGAATACCATTTTCGTGGACCTGGTGTAACATCAAACATATCCGGCGGGTCCAATGTGATTCTGGTTATAGTCTTGCTAGGTTTATAATTAGTTGGCAAGCTTTCTGCCATGTCGAAAACGATTCCGCAATCGCCAAGTGACGTCTGCCTGATTGTGATGGGCTGATGGGTATATTTAACAGTGTTTATTTTGAGGAGGGCTAATTTCCATAAATTTTCCTGACGGCGTTCATGAATTTATCCAGCGCATAAATCATTTTCTTTATCATTATATTTTCCCGACTAATATATTTGCTCCACTTCCTGTTTTCCCCACCTCCCGGTTGGAGTTAAGCCCCCCCCCCTCCAAAGAAAAAAAAAGAAGAAAAAACGATCAGAGTAAAAAATATTAAAATTCTACTTAAAAATTGCGCAAATTTAGAGAAAAAATGAGGAAATGTTAAAAGGAGTTATTAAGAAGGAACTAGGTAGTGGGGCAAACGGGAGTTTGAGAGGTTGGGAACAGGCATGTAGTGGGGAATCAGGGAGTCACTGGGAGAACCACAGAATCGTATACACTGGGGAATAGCAGGGTCGGGGAATGGTGGGAATAGGGAATGGTGGGAATAGGCTAACCGAAGAGACTATGGGGATAAAAAGGGGAAATAGCATATCGTGAATTGGGAGGGATATAAAAAAAATATATACGAAAATAACCTTTTGGTGTTTCACTTCGTTGGCAAACATATTTAATTAACATATCTTAATTATTACAATCTCAAATACACGATACTGGGTAGTGTTACTTTAATATTTATAAAGAATTTTAACACTGGAATGTAAGTGATTTTAAAATTTAATTAGTTTTGATATTTATAGAGAAAAGTCTTGGCCAGGATATAAACACAGTTAATATCCATATAAACACAGATATAAACATATAAACACAGTTATACTGGTTCTATACCTAAACTTTCCAGCTGTACGTGCTATGTCTGAATTAAATAAATATGAGACTACTTTTCCCTGGAAGGGATGCGGAAGCCACTGCTGTGGGAAATGGATCAACTGAGGGATAGTGAATCAGGAATCAAGAAACTTATGGAATAAGCAATACGAGAGATAACTTTTTTTGTGTTTTTGGCAAACATAATTGTACTGAAGTATTATTATGGTGGCATCATTAATTCTTAATTAACTAATCATACTTAACTTATTTATCACACGATAACTTATTTATCACAAACAATCAAGTACATAGCTATAACACTAGATCGGCTACATATTACAGACCTCACGCGTGTCGGACAAACATAAAGCAATTCACTATTCTTTCTGTTGGTCCGAATACATGGAATTCTTTTCCACCATATATTACGGCTAAAACCACCATTTCCTCTTTCAAGAATCAATCATGCATTTTCCTACTTGAAAATTATAATATCGCATAGACGTCGAAATCGACATGTTTTAGTTAACTTGTATATTATGTAGTAATGTATGTGTGTTTTGAACTTGTACAAAGATATGATCTTTTTCTGAGTTGTCACAGTGAACTAGGGGGCCTCGAGACGACTGTCACTAGGCCTCCTCTTCACTCAATTTATTTATTACAAAATTATTTTAACAAATGAGATGGCCTCTTAATATAAGCCTTTTAGCTTCTTGAGGTCTTCTCGCTACTGCTCAACTTTGATACTCAAACTACAATTAATGTAAATATTTATATTCTTGTTGTGTTGTGGCAAATAAATGATAATAATAATACATAATAATAACATACGAGCCATTTTACTATTTCATTATATTCTGGATACTATTTGTGTCTTTATTACAATTATTAATATTATTCATTAACATTTTTTAAAGAAATATGTGTGCGATTACCCCTCAGGGAGGGGGGTAATAGGCAAAGTCATGGAACAGCGGCATTCTCGTACCCAGAGCCCTTCTTACGCGCGACCCTCGTCGCACCGCGCGTAAGAAGGGCTCTGGGTACGAGAATGGGAACAGCGGCATCTCTTTAAATTTAAAATCTGCGACCACTTGTTGTGCTGGGAAACCATACAGGGGTAATAGGGTTAGAGTTTTGGTCATGTCTTTCATGCTCAGGCCTGGCTAAGGTGGAGATATATTGATACCAAAAGCATTTTACCGTTCAGTATCTGTTATTTTATTTTATTCTCGAAATAGGTCGAAATATGAATAAATATCTTAATGTAATCCCATATTTATTGAAGAATACTGGGAATCATAGGTAATTAAATTGGTATTATATTGGTATTGGTATCCTATTGGTTTTTGTATTATTGGTATTAAATTGGTATTCAGAACCAGTGCAATTGCAGCTAGTTCTTGTAACCCATATATTTGTATACATTGTACAACATTCTATTATCACTTGATTACACATATCCAAGTGGTTAAAACAATAGTGTAGCGCGCCAAGATATGAAGTTAGACCCGGACAACAACAGTCTGCTTCGGTGGTTATATAATTAATACAAAATTACAAACTGAAGGTAAACATCATTACGTGCTTATTATACGAACTCATTACTGTCGTGCGTTATTTTGTATATTAATAAGGGTGGACACTGCAAAAACTACAATATGCTGTTGAAAAGCAATTATTACTCAGGGTGCGATAATTCTCGTACTTAAGTACCACGTAGGTACGCGGAACTCTTGCTATCTGCGTATTTACATTTTCCTTGTACCATATGAGTTTTCCAAGACCCGTAGTTACTAAAACAAGGAATCACCATTTCAAAATTATAGTAATTTGGTCGGTAAATGTGCATAAAGTCCGACATGATCAGAATGAAAAATTAATACTCATAGTTTTAGGTTACTGAATATCTTTCAGAAACCTGCACTTTATGTACTTCATTTTAAACACTAAGTACACCTCGAGTCTTTGTTTACTCAAGTACTCGACAATGATCATTGGAGTACCAGTCAGGTACGACTATAAATCATGAATTATCACACCCTGCTATTACTGTAATACAGTTGGTTTTGACTAAAAAATACGATTACATTTTAAAATACATTCAATATATGTACGAATGACTCGTGTTCATGCAAGGTATGCTCAGATCATGAACAAACGCATGATTCAAACGCCAACTTTTCATGTTGCGAATACAAAGTTAACTTGCGTGGCCATGGATTAACTTAATAATAGTTTCGTTTTGTTATTAATTTAATGCTTCTAGTAATCCAGAAACTTTTGTTTGTGGAATTATACTAATTCTTACGTTGTAATTCTAGTTCTGTATTTTTTAAACTACATTATATTATTCTATTGTTGGCCGCTGGAAAATTACGAGAAAACGACGTCCCAGCTTTCAGCAAAAATGATCTTAGTACTTCTTAAAGAACTGCAAAATATTCACCAGGATGTCTACCTGAGTAAAAAATAGAATAAGTTAGCTTCCCATTTTCTCGGTGGGAATGCCAGGTGAATGTCTGCCTCGCACTACGTACCCCAAGGGTAAGGACACGCAAATTAATCCACGCGGCCTCACGCAAAGGTCACGCAGCAGCGACGCAAGCCATGGTGTGTGCGTGTGTTTTCTGTACATAGAATATGACATAGAATGGAATAGAATGTGACATAGAATAGCCTGCGTTGTCGGCGTAGGCTAGACATAGAATGGAATAGAATATGACATAGAATGGAATAGAATATGACATAGAATGGAATAGAATATGACATATAGGACATAGAATGCCTTAACTTCAATGATGCAACAATGCTTAGTTCGTACCGTCACACTTACTGACCAGTAATTTGTTATCTACGCAAATTTGTCAAATTCATGGTTCCGTAGCTTCTGCTCACTATTAGAAAGGGTTCAGATTTTGACCACCATTACCAATGACCAATCACATGCATTTAATCTACCAGACTAACCAATCGAATACCTATTAATCTTGCGAGAGGTAGCGGAAGTCAAATCTGGACTTGTCGAATTACCACATTAGATCTCGGCCTACAGCCTCACCAACGATTAGGTTCTCAATGAAAAATGTTGCAATACTGAACTCAGAGGAAAACAGAATGGTAATAGATAATAACTATACAATACTTAAACCCAGAATGAAATATACTAACCTGACATATTAGTCCGCGTGTTGTGACCCGATATCGTTCACTTTCATGATGCATGTCTTAGATCTGAAATATTTTACGGGAACTAACACTTTCGAACACGCTGAGTTAAAATCCGAAAAGTTCCCACTCCGTAGACCCGCAGTTTTTTCACAAAATGCTATTTTATCTTCACTAATTTCACAAAAAATTTTTTCATTGTTCAACGATACGGATCGACGACGATACACGATTATGTCACTCAAAAGACCAGTCCCAATTAACCATTATTCATTTTAACAAAAGATCGGTTTTGCTCGAATCATTTTGATTTATGCAATCTTATGCGTGTTGGACGTAAACAACATATCTTGTCTACAACTTTGAGAAGATACAGATAACGCTTTCTAAAATCATCAGTTCTAGAAATATCTCTATAAAATCACAAGGACATTAATGCAAAGTCTTTTAGCTATGTCACAGGCCTGAAAATAACTCTTTTAACGCGATCAAGTTATTTAAAACAAAAGTAACGCGAAGGCAACGTAACGGCAAAGACAGCGCTAAAATGCAATATTGTCGAATGGTTGCTGCTAGAAGACTTAGGACAGGATCAATCTTAAATAACCTTAAACTATGAGAATAAATGTTCACATCAAAGACAAAGATCAGTCCCAAAGTATAAAATATGCTCTGTAAACTTACCACAAAGTGCAGAAATGTGTGCATGAGCTGTTTATTTGATGATTTCAACGTATATAGCAGCCCTCTTTCCAATAATATTCACTTATCGCACAGTATAACACCAACTGATGTAATAGTTCAAATGCAATGATAAGTTAATCTTGAATTACGTCTCGGAAACCGTGTTGGAAATTTCAATAGTGCTGATCCATTACATATAGATTACCGTTTTATATCTTTGTATAAAACATTTTGAGCGCATGTAAGGAATTATTTCTCATCCCAGAGACATAGCACAAAGACTTGACATTAATGTCCTTGTGATTTTATATAGAGATAGATCCAGAACTAAGGATTTTAGAAGGAATTATCTGTACCTTCTCAAAGTTGTAGACAAGATATGTTGTTTACGTCCAACACGCATAAGATTGCATAACTCAGAATGATTCGAACAAAACCGGTCTTTTGTTTAAAGGAAGAATGGTTAATAGAAATTGGTCCTTTTGAGTGACATAATCGTGTATCGTCATCGATCCGTATCGTTGAACAATGAAAAAATTTGTTGTGAAATTAGTGAAGATAAAATAGCATTTTGTGAAAAAACTGCGGGTCTACGGAGTGGGAACTTTTCGGATTTGAAATCAGCATGTTCGAAAGTGTTAGTTCCCGTAAAAGTATTTCAGATCTAAGACATGCATAATGAAAATCGTTTTCTAGGCACTTTTCAAGGTCACAACACACGGACTATATCGTGTGGGCTTCAGTCTGCACCAGACAATGGGCGACGGTTTATCACGGGGAAAAACTTCTCCAAGGAAAGGCGTGTTTTCCAGTCAGGATGCTTTCTGATTATTTGATGCACAACAAGTGGGAGGGTTGGAAATAATTGCAGGAAATATTCGTCAAGAGAAGTAGCTGTTCCCATAGCTTTCAATGGTAGACGTGTTTTGTCGCCCCAATGCTGACGAACATTTCTTATGAATCGAAGACAATGCGTGTAACGGCTACCATCAAAACGGGACGCAGGGGTATGACCTCCTGCACAAAATGTGTTGAGGTCATCTGGATCAATGACTGCTTTCCAGTTATTTGGTAACAATGAGCTTCGAGGTCTTGACAGATCACGGTTGTCTAGCTCTCTGGAAACAGCACAGTTGAGATCTCCTTTGAAACTCTTTATTTCAGGCTCGTTCCCTAAAGCCTCTAAGAACTTCATCTGGTCTTCGGATGAGAGAAAGTAAGGGTGCTTTAAGGCTTGCTCCACATATGGTCGTTCACGCAGATCCCGAGTCAACATCTGAGAAAGCAGGTCTTTCACCACAGGATCACTGAGCTTGCTTAAACCCACTGGATCGTCACCATGCAAATTTTGCTGTCTACGGAATTCAGGACCAAATGGATGCTTTCCTTTGGTCAAGATGTAAAATGCTAACATACCTGCCACTTGGATATCTGATTTCTCTTTCCACTTGAGTTGTGTTTCATCTGAAGGGTTCCGCACCTCATCAGAGCATGCAGCATCCCAGTCAATACATTCATATGGGACCCAGTCTTTTGATCCACGTTCGCGATTGGTACAGTATGTAGTTGCACCTGTAAAAAAGAATTGACCTATTTAGCAGCGGTTCTCCAGGGGGGGGGCACATTCGTCACATGTTTACACGAGGCTTCCGAGGCGGGCTGGCTTGCCAAAATAAACCACTGGGCTCACCGCTATAAATTAGTATAATATAAATATATTTTCTCACGAACCTAAAATTTGCACTTTCACAAGCAACTTTCACGCTCATAACCCACAGAATCGTTCACAGAGACCTTTTAACATAAGATTTAAAATCTGTCCTGAAAATCGTATTTACCACAGTATATTCGCGTGAACAGAATGATAATAGACCATAATACTCTTCCCGCTTGTGCGAGCCAGCCCGAGTCATTGCGTTTATATGGGAAATTCCAAACCAGGTCACCCAAGATCTTAGCCTGCTCGCAGACAGGCTATCAAGATCTCAGGTCAGTCGAGGCGGGATCTCGTTTATGCGGGCCAGCTAGGTTCCAATATAAATGCAGATGGGAATTTAGTTGGAAATAATAACGAAGGCGCGATCTCGCTCAAACAGCCCCCACGTTTTAAGGATGTTTCGTCACGCTTTATTAGATCACAGATATTTCGGAGAGGTCGTAAATTTTGCTTGACAGCGGGAAGGGAGAAACCTCGACACAAAGAGTGGCTGCGAAGGAAACTAGCGGGAAGACGAAAATATTCCTTGGCTCACAAGTAAACGCATTAACGGCTTCTATATGCCTGTTAATTAGCCTTTCTCACGCCGCCATTTTTGGGGTATACTGCCTTTTCCAAATCTGGGATTGTATGCAGTAAATAAGGGATTTGTATGACTATAATTATGAGTAAAATTATTATAAGTTAATTTAATTTACAGTAAAATATTTGAAAAGATGTTTTCACATCGCTTAGATTTTTCACGTCGTTTTCAAAAAAGTACCCCCAAATGGCTTCGTTTGGCCTTCGTGAGAAAGGCTAATTTACTGTAATCTAACATATGGTTAATTTTGTTAATACATCATATATATGTACCTTTTTAATTCCGGGAAAACCGTCCAATACCAAAATAGATAATCCATGGGGCCGACTGCCGAGTAAAATTAATTTCACGTGTGTTGGCAGTTAGGCCAAATAAAAAAAAAAAATACTTGGTTAGCGTCACCGCCCGCCTCTCGATTTTCTGCTGCCTCTGAATTTTTTTTTATGTAAATCTCTTCGTTTTACAGCTTAAAACAGTTTAATATTTGAAATTTTTCTCATGCTCAGACCTTCGCGCTATATACTGATCGATAGGAGCGCGTAGGCTTGGGTATACAAGGTTCTTAAAGCAAAATGGCGGCCTTCGCAACATCAGTACAAAAAATATCACCGATATGGTGGAAAAACCGCCCCCCATCCCCTCCAAAAATACTATTAAAAAATTAAAAAACGAGTAAAAATTAAAAAAAAAATCCGCCCGCCCGCCTCTGAAAATTTGTGAGAGTGTGACGCTAACCAAGTATTTTTTTTTATTTGGCCTTATGTGTGATAGTGCGTGTTTAATAACTGTCTATATAGTCGCTATATATATATACATAGACACTTCGTTTTGTTAAATATACACATCCTGTGAAAATACCTTGTTCCGGGAAAAATCGTCCAATACCAAAATCAGACAGCACTAAATTATCATTCACATCAACAAGTATATTGGTCGGCTTCAAGTCTCTGTGTAAAATTCTAGGCTCTCTAGCATGTAATGCTTTCAGCCCTTCCAACACTTGACGTATCATCTTTCTAGCACGGGATTCTGTTATCATCTCACCTTCCTCCTTGATGAATTCTTTAAGATTTTGTTCATATAAATTCAAAATCAAATAACCAAAGTCAGGGCTGGAAGTATTATCGTAGAAATGATAATATACAACCCGTGGCGACTCGACTGCATTCGAAGAGGTCAAGATATCTCGTTCATTCTTCAACACGAGCTTCAACAAATTACACAGGAGTTTTGGCAAACGTTTTATCGCTCGTTCTATCCCGTCTGATCCCAAGCAAACATACACTTCTGTACCATAACTGCCAATACCTATTGAGAACTCTTCTTTAAAACATACGCCGTTATTGTTAATTATTGTTATCAATTCAGGGTTACTCTCAGCATTTTTCCAGACGTTGGAAAGCAGTTCTAACTTCTCTCTATGCTTCACTGAGACCTTTTTCCAATTTTTGGGTTTTAAGGCTGCGATTTCTACACCTTTCTCCACATGTCCATGTCGCTTCCGTCCGATTTTCCTTTGGGATTTGTTCATCGTCGTCGTCGCAGCAACTTGTTGTGAATTAGGCGTCAACCTTAATTCATTAAGCCTATGCCGCTTATCTAGTAAACTTTCCATTACTGGCATTACCCAATTACTTTGCAAGTCCAATGGCCAATATGTCGGTAATACAGTAGCATCATCACTATCATCATTAAAATCACTATGAGCTCTGCTATCAAACTTCGGCGGCGCAGATTTGATTCTAGTCTGTCTAGATCTATTGTAATTCCGGCTTCCTGCCATGTCGAAAAGAATTCTATTTCTGACCGAAATCACTCAAGTGACGTCTGCCTGATAGTGATGAGCTGATGTCCGACGGCCAGTACAATGTCGTCAATGGCAATGTCAAAGTGATCGATACTGACAAAAAACAAACAAACAGGTGGAAAACCAAAAATGGTTATATTTTCATAAGAACCTGCAATGCGTCCAAAAATTATATATAATTGATTACCTCAAATCATGGATAATAAAATAAATTTATTTTATTATCCATGCTCAAATCGTGACTTGTTTGTATTTGTCATTACATTCTGCAGTGGAATGTAGCAGCTTCAATAAAATTGTTTCCTATTGGTCATTATGATTCATGATATGAATATGATAACGGTACGATATAGGGTGTAGACAAAACGGGGACAAGAACGACAGGGGACGAACTTTTTTATTTATTCTATTAGACTATTCTGTGTTTGAATATTAGACTATTAGTTAGACACGCGAATTAGATAAATAGTATAAAATTGGCCTGAACTAGATAAACACATCTCTTAGGTATACCTGATTTTTTAACACCCCAATGTACAAGGTTACATAACCAAACAATATTTACAAGTGATAGGGCTACCCTAATCTATGGGGCTACTAGAAATCTTACGCATATGACATGACAAAATAATTAGCAAAACCCTGTGGTAAATTTTTAAGATGATGATATCGAAACATAAATAATGCGGTTACTGCAAATAGTCATGAATTTTTAAAATGTCTAAAATATTCAGTTTAAATGTCAGCAAACGTACGACAATTTTCTCAGACTCGAACTCAGTCTTCATTATTTTTTTAATTCAATTTTTGTACTGGATATTGGAGCATTGCGAAAACAGGTTATATCATCATAGATAAAATATGGATACACTGAAGTATAATAAACTATGTCTATAGTTTAATTGCATTGCAGATTATGTAATATTATTATTAATATAATTTTATTTCTAGCTATACGGTCATTCCAAAATCCAAGTGAGGCATTCAAGCACCCAGCACTGTGGCTATCAAAATATTGAACAAAATTTGAAATTGCAGCAAAAACGTTCGTAATTTTCCGTTTTAAGAACTTTTTCGCAAAATGTAATGAAGCAATCATAGCTTCAAGTTTTGTTATTATTTTAGCGTAGTTTTTAAAATATTTCGAGTACTGTTCGATAGTTTTAAGGTCTAGGGGTTTGATATTCTTTCCACTTAGCTCAGGAACAAATAAAACTAATTAGTATGCAGTGAGTGACGTCGCACGTAAGGCCAGCAAGCGACGTTTTTGACAACACGAACGCAACCTCGTACCCAGAGCTTGCAATAAGCGCAGAAGCCCTGGGTACCATGGGGGCACTTCAGACCTCACTCAATGTTATTTATTTTCTTCCGATTGAAAATTTGGTGTCCACAAGGGATGAAAATAAAACAAACTGGTGTTTATACTTGTTATTGAGTGTATAATACATTCTATTATCACATGATTATATCAATGGTTAAAACCATATATGCTGTTGAAAAGCAATTGTTACCGGCTCAGGGTGCGATAAATCGCGTACTTACGTACCGGAGTCGGAGACACGGTATTAGAGACGTTCAGATTTGAAGTCTTGGAATGAAATATTATTGGACTGATGGGACTAAGGAATGTTGGAGTCGATTTCAGTGTTTGTATATATGCAATATAGTCGTCCCTCTCGTTCTTACTCATAGTTTTAGGTTACTGAATATCTTTCAGAAACATGTACTTTATGTACTTCATTTTAAAGACTAAGTATGTACTTTATGTACTTCATTTTAGAGAGTCTTTGACTTTGTGACGCCAGTACACGACAATAATCATTGGAGTACCAGTCAGGTACGACTAAAAATCTTGAATTATCACACCCTGCTATTACTGTAAAAAAATGATTACATCAACACATTCATTAATATATGTACGAATAACTCGTGTTCATCCAAGGTATACTCAGATGAACAAACGCATGATTCAAACGCGAACATTTCATGTTGCGAATACAAAGTTAACTTGCATGGATTAACCTAATAATAGTTTTCGTTTTGTTATGAATTCTTAAAATGCTTCTGGTAATCCAGAAACGTTTGTTTGTGGAGTTATACTAATTCTTACGTTGTAATTCTAGTTCTGTAATTTTTAAACTACATTATAAATTATTCTATTGTTGGCCACTGGAAAATTACGAGAAAAAGACGTCCCAGCTTTCAGCAAAAATGATCCAGTACTTCTTAAAGAACTGCAAAATATTCACCAGGACGTCTACCTGAGTAAATAAATAGAATAAGTTAGCTTCCCATTTTCTCGGTGGGAATGCCGGGTGAATGTCTGCCTCGCACTACGTACCCCAAGGGTAAGGGCACGCAAATTAATCCACGCGGCCTCACGCAAAGGTCACGCAGCAGCGACGCAAGCCATGGTGTGTGCGTGTGTTTTCGAGAATATGACATAGAATATGACATAGAATGGAATAGAATATGACATATAGGACATAGAATGCCTTAAAGTTCAATTATGCAACAATGCTTAGTTCGTACTGTCACACTTACCAGGGCTGCAAATAAATATTTGACTTAGCAGGACATTTGTCCGATCACTTTTAATTTTGGTCGGACATAACTTGAATTTGGTCGGACAAAAACCAACATCACTAAATTTGGTCGGACATATATACGTCACAAGATATATATAAGTCACAAGACAAGTTTGTATGCCATTCCGGCGCAACGTTAAGTAAGGTTTAATGCTAGAACGCTTCGTAAGTTTTATTACAAAATGACAATCGAGTGAATTTGCAATCAGATTTTATCACAGCAAAAAAATGTATAATGTGACAATTTTTGTTGTGATCGGACCAATGTCCGATCAAAATTACTTTTGCTCGGACATTTGCCAAATTTAGTCGGACATTGTCCGATGTCCGACAGTAATTTGCAGCCCTGCTTACTGACCAGTAATTTGTTATTTACGCAAATTTGTCAAATTCATGGTAGCTTCCGAAGGTTTTTGTTTGTTTTAAATTATCATTTCAGTGATATTAGTAAAACACACATGGGATTCATCTGTGCTCACTATTAGAGAGGTTCAGATTTTGACCATCGTTACCAATGACTAATCAGATGCATTTAATCTACCAAACTAACCAATCAAATGCGTATTAATCCTGCAAGAGGTAGCGGTAGTGGAAGTCAAATCTGGACTTGTCGAATTACCACATTAGATCTCGGCCTACAGCCTCACCAACGATTAGGTTCTCAATGAAAAATGTTGCAATACTGAACTCAGAGGAAAACAGAATGGTAATAGATAATAACTATACAATACTTAAAACCAGAATGAGATATACTAACCTGACATATCGTGTGGGCTTCAGTCTGCATCAGACCCTGCGCGACGGTTTATCACGGGGAAAAACTCCTTCAAAGAAAGGCGTGTTTTCCAGTCAGGATGCTTTCTGATGATTTGATGCACAACGAGCGGGAGGGTTGGAAATAATTGCAGGAAATATTCGTCAAGAGAAGTAGCTGTTCCCATAGCTTTCAATGGTGGACGTGGTTTGTCGCCCCAATGCTGACGAACATTTCTTATGAATCGAAGACATTGCGTGTATCGGCTACCATCAAAACGGGACGGGCGAGTAGGACCTCCTGCACAAAATGTTTTGAGATCATCTGGATCGATGACTGCTTTCCAGTCATTTGGTAACAATGAGCTTCGAGGTCTTGACAGATCACGGTTGTCTAGCTCTCCGGAAACAGCACAGCTGCGATCTCCTTTGAAACTCTTTATTTCAGGCTCGTTGCCCAAAGCTTCTAAGAACTTCATCTGGTCTTCGGACGGGAGAAAGTAAGGGTGCTTTAAGGCTTGCTCCACATATGGTCGTTCACGCAGATCCCGAGCCAACATCTGAGAAAGCAGGTCTTTCACCACAGGATCACTGAGCTTGCTTAAACCCACTGGGTTGCCATCATGCAAATTTTGCTGTCGACGAAATTCAGGACCAAATGGATGCTTTCCTTTGGTCAAGATGTAAAATGCTAACATACCTGCCACTTGGATTTCTGATTTCTCTTTCCACTTGAGTTTTATTGGCGCAACTGAAGAGTCCCGCACCTCATCAGAGCATGCAGCATCCCAGTCAATACATTCATATGGGACCCAGTCTTTTGATCCACGTTCGCCATTGGTACAGTATGTAGTTGCACCTGTAAAGAGGTAAGAATTTTATTAACTCGCGGATGTTGTGTTTATAGTGTCTATAGTGGACACGGTAAAGATCATCGAGCAAACGATTTTGTTGTCACGACCTTGCTTCTGGTTCTGTCTTAAATTTATTTCCCAACATTTACTGATTTAGCAAAAATCTTCACGTTGTTATGCCTGGTTCACACTAGTCGTAAGAATCGGGGATTTCCGTTGTCTGTGGTCATTGATAGCCTACATGCAATAGATCGCCGACGAATTACGACTAGTGTGAACCAGGCTTAGCCTTAAGACTTATATCCACTTACAAGTTGTGCAGATTCTAATTCCTTTAAACTTACATCAAAATAGAGTATGATCTGTTTTAAATAAAATAGAAACTGTCGAGTGAGATGGCCAAAGTTTAGTTAATTCGCACTACGCAGTCTACACTGACTACAGGCTTATGTTCAGTTTTAAATCTTTACATATACATAATAATTACTTTATACATTACCAGAAACTGACGATTGTCCTACCATAGGCATAGTTATTAACTATGGTCTTACTAGGGGTCACCAAGAGAAAGGAACCCAACTAGGTGGTGAACGGGAAAAGTGGAAACTTGCCTGGGCAAAAAAAATTATGTATTTTTAAGTGTCTGGGGCTTTATTGTCCGCCATTTTTAGACACAATTTTTTTATCCGCTAGACAAAGATTTGGTTGCGGGAATATTAAAATACTCTTAACTAAGTTATTCTTCCCTTTTTTGCTTATATTTTAGGGGACTAATTAACTGAGAGGGCCAACATAGTTCACTGGAGAGATCAAAACAGGGGCTGGGGACAAGTCCCCCCAGTCTATGGTACATCCTCGTTCCCAGGGCTTCTCGGAACGAGGTGTCTATGGCATTTAAAGAGGCCGGCCTACATAGGCACACTTTTATTTTTCGACTAAGTAAATTTATTTACGGTAGTATATGTAACTATACACATATACAGTAGGTCAAGTATTGTACTTTAAAAAGAGCTTGTCAAGCTTGCAATGACTAACAGTCTGAAGTTGTATATTTTATGCACCTTTATAATTGACCATATGCGCGAGAAGAGTTTGGTTTACATGTATACACACATATAGACTATATATAGTTAAGTTCAAGTAATGTACCTTAGAAGGAACTTATACAATTAATGAAACTGGCTTTCTTTAGCTCGGGCGACTACGCAAGATGAACATTAGTATATAAATGACATTTACCAAAATTTAAATAAAATCACAAAATTCATCGAAGATTGTCTCGTATAAACTCTTGTTGTTTAGTATTATATTCTATACTCGGTTTATCGCGTCCTCTTGAATATAGGATTCATAGAAAATTCAGATGATTTAACAAACGTTTGACAAAAAATAGTCCAGAAAATTTTTTGTCAAAACTTTTGTGAAATTATGAGCCATAACTTTTAAATATTCGTTGCTCTGCAGTCAGTGGCGGCGCCAGGCTTCCAAATTTGGGGGAGCATTTGAGGGGCAAACTCAAATTTTGGGGGGGCAAGATAGAATTTTTAAAAAGGTCGCCCCCCCCCAGGAAATTCGCCCCCCCCCCCTCAAAACGTGGCGATATTCCTAGGAATATTGCCCCCGGGGGCGAATATCCTAGGAATATCGCCTCCCAGGGGGTGGGGCGAATACCCTAGGAATATCGCCCCTCTTTAGGACATTCGCCCCCCATATATGCGATGCGGTTTATTCAAATAATTTCGTGATACTTTCATCTTATTATTGCCTTACACGTTTGAGAATTTAACTCTGCAAAACTAAAGCTTTTTGGTCTTTTTTTGAAACGTATTATTGGAGTATTGGCAAGTTTTACCATTCAGTGATTTACAAACTAATATTGAAACTGTAAAAAACAGTTTCATGTATACGCGCATTCACTAATATGAGTAATGACAACTTATAACACAGGAGGCCCAGGCTCGATTTGCCCGCGCCCGCCTGTGCCTTCCTTATAACGAGGGAAGGACGGAGACATTGAGACCAAAATAGCCCAGACTTGGCATATGTCACACGAAACTATCCTCGATTTTTCGCTTTTAATGCATTTCTTTCACGATTAATCGATATCCCCTGCAAGAATGATACCGTATAACTCTCAAAACAACGATGCTTTAATCAAAGAGCTTAAACTCGCTCTGAAATCCGTGAGGGAATAACAAAATTCGGCCAAAATATATCCGCGTGCCCGGTTTGCTGTGCAAAAAGCGGAAGTCGTTCAACAACTCAAAAACACTCAACCCTGATTGGACAACGAATTTCAACAAACATTTCAAATTTTTTTAACAAACACAATGTGAAATACAATTTATTATACATATTAACGTACTACAGTTTTATATACTTGCAGTAATATTTACACTTTATAACGTTTGTGAATAGTTTTGATTGTATGATTGAAATTATAACAGTACTGTTAAAAAAATTTGAAAGGTTTGTTAAATTCGTTGTCCAATCAGGGTTGAGTGTTTTTGAGTTGTTGAACGACTTCCGCTTTTTGCACAGCAAACCGGGCACGCGGATATATTTTG